CCCCATGCCAACACACACTGTACCCCCACCTGCCCCACACACACAGCCCAACCACCCCCCACAGATATCTCCCCAGCCCCTCCACAAACACTACACTCCCCCACACACCCACAATATACAAAAAGACTTTAATTTGAGCTATTATACAATTGCCTCTATATACACTACTCAAAAAACATAAATCAGGACAGAAATTATTTTTTTTAATAAAATTAAAATACATTATAGTAGATGTTTGATTTTTAGTATAAGATTTGTTTTTATCTATAATTTGTTAAAATGATATCTTCTAAAGGATTTTGTATGTGCAGCCCGTGACAGCTCACCAAAACTTGTTAAGTAGCCTTCCAGCTGAAATAATTTCCCACCCCTGCCTCAGACCTTTCTGGACATGTAAGGGCAGAAGTGAAACAACTACTTTGTTTCGGAGACAGCAATGGAGGTCAGGACCGGTATGGCAGCTGTCATTCTTATGCCCCCTCTAAGTGAGCATCTAGGGCTGACTCTTCTCTACAGCTGAGGAGCTCTAGGAGACATTGTGTTTCCCAATGCATTGCTGAGGTAGCATGGCTCTGCATCTGCAGCATTGGTCTGTGGCAGAATGTCACAATTTAGCACTTAAATCATGTTTAGTTGATAATACTGAGTGGGCGCTCAGTACCTTTGAAGAGGCCAATTTTAGTTAGATTGTTCAGTGAAGGTTCAGGTGCCTAACCTTAGGAAGCCAAATGTAAAAATTCAGATCTTACGCTTGCTGTACATTTTCAGATTCATCTCTGTTTTGCTATCTGCAAAATGGGGCCAATAGTATCTACTTACCACACTGGTGGCAAGGATAGTGAGGTTTGTTTAAGGTTTACACAGCACACTGACTGCATGTGATGGCAACAGCTTTTTGCATTTCTATAGTGCCTTCTGTCTCATCTCATGGCCTCTGCCCCCTGCTCCTCATAAGTATTTTTATGAACACTAAAGGTTATCTCTGGAAATATCCATCCATCAGGGAAATCATACCAACCCCCACTTCGTATTGGGGGTAAAATCATAAGGGACTTCTGCTAATTCTTGAACGGATTTTGCTACATAATTCTACCTCAAATTAGATATTTACCTGAAAGTTCACACAGAGTAAGAGGATGCCCACCCCTGTGAAATCACTGAGGTAGCAAATATGGGAATATTCATTTCAGGTGCACAGGTATTTTGTGAGCTTCATATAAGGAAAACTGCTAGTAGATTTGAGACTAATTCCCATGGCCCCTCCTCAGAGCTCTGAGCGGAAATTCAGAGAGGTTCCAGCCATCTTCTTCTTATAATCTTGGTCAAATTTCTCATTCTGTGCCACAGTGAAATGGTTCTTCCAATCCCCAACAGCCCCTACAGCACAGCAAAGGCAGAGAAAAATTAAATCACAATTAAGAAGAATTCTTCCCTTCAGCCCAGGCCCTGGAAACTATTGCCAGTAGCTCAGAAGACATGTATTCAAGTGAAGGGTTAATGCAAAATAAACCTAGAGACTGGAAAGTAGAAGTAATACTAAATAATATGGAGTAAAACCTTTTCTCATGAATGGGGAGATTGAATGATTCATTATTCCCTCAAATTCTTTGGTGTAGTTTGCCATGGGATTGCTCTTCATTTTCTCAAATGACGTGTGTTCGACAATCTTATCCAGGACCTCCTTTTTGAGGTCCTTTTCTAGGAAACGCACCACCTTTTGGATTTCATGCTTTGGATTCTGTGGAGAGAGTGAGGTAGAATAAGAAACAGAATCAGGAAGAGAAAACAAAATCAGATATAAGGAACAACTGGGAGGAAGTTTTAAATGCGTGTTTGTAACTCTCACTAGGATAGGGAAGATCAGATCTGGCCTTAACAGAATGTGACTGGGAGGAGCTAAGGCCTCTTGGGACCTTGGCTGACAATAATGGAGCAGTACAAACATGAAACAGCCACTCACCTCCTTCATGTCTTCATAGAACAGATAGAGAATACGGTGTTCATCTTTTGCCTCCCACCATCCTTTTACATGGTCATGCCAGGAACCCCAAAGCACTGAAAGAGAAAGAAGTAAGTCATCAGCTAGAAGGTCCTAATCAATCTAGATATCTCATGCATGTATATTTCTCATATAAACCAGTGCATTTGAGCACTTTTCACTTTCCACCATATTTCTCTTTGCTATACCCATGTGATGAAAGGGTATTTCACAGGCGGGGAACAGAAACATAGAGAGACTAAGGCCTCATCTACACATTACATTTAAGATGTGATTAATGTGATGGGCAAAGAAGCTATTACCCTGAAATAAAATAGTTCACGTAAGACAAAGAAGCCATTGTTCTAAAGTACAGTGATCACGTACTCAGGAAATGTCTGTTGCTGTGCAGTTTTTGCTAACGTATCATAATGTAACCGTTGCTTAACTTCTGCTTTTGAGAAAGTACTAATTCAGCTAAAACAGAAAAATGCTGATAAAGAAATGATTGCCACAAGTATTGCTTATTTGTTAACCCTGTAGTCTTGCCTTGTTGTAAAAGTATAAAAGAACGCCCCACCCTTCAGTCGGGGCCATTTTGCCTCTTTGCTGGCTTATGGTCATTTGCTCAAGCAAATAAACTGCAACAAAGCCTTTACCCGTGTTTCCTGGTTCCTATGCGGCTAGACAACGAACTCCAGGGAGTTTTCTCCCACGACATTAACCAGTTAATTATGTCCTATGTTGCAACTCAGCCACACATTCAGTCAATTAATGGTGTGCTAAAAAAGCAATAAGCCACAAAAATGTGCAATACCTTTGTGACTTGTTCTTATCACACCATTTATTGAATGTGTGGCCAGCTGGTTCCCTGTGGCTGGGAATCCCATCAACTGAGGGGCTCCCAGCTATAATGGTGCATCACCCACTGCCCGCTGTGGGGCTTGCTGCAGTAAGACTGGTGCAGGGGGGGCCTGGGATCATGTGATTAGCAATAAGGTGTGATTGGATCTGATGCTGGATCCCACAATCACACCTCCTTCCATGCACTTGTGGCATGGCAAGAGGTGGGATTGTGTGGATTGCACATCAGATCCTACCATGTCTTTATCTGAACATCTAGAGGGGGCCCTAAGACCCACATCCGCAAAGGGACAAAGGCATGGGAATGCTGAACATGGCTACACTGAGCTTTTAGATGTCCAATGGAATCCACAGACCTCAGTTAAGTACCTACATTCCATATAGAGCTTGGAGAGAGAAATGGGATTAAAAACAGCCAGCCTGCTGAGTAGGGGGATACCTAAGCAGATAGGAAATAATGCAGAGTGGGGTGTGTTTGAAATGTCATCTTTCCCAGGACTCAGAGCTGCAGAGAGGTGCCTGTGCGAGACTGGGACTCATAGTTTGAAACTTACTACTGTACTTAGGCATATAAATGCTGAAAACGGGCTTACTCTTTCCTTCTAAAACAATGCGGGAACAGCTGTTGGAGCTCCCCTCCTCTTATGTAATAGCTTACTCAACAGAAAAGCAAAGCAAGAAAGAAGGAAGCAGTGCTGTAAACTTGGATTCCAACTTGGACAACACATGGATCTGTGAAATTATAACAAGCTGTGTCACTCTCAGATGGCGTTTGTCAGCCACAAGCAGATTCATCAGGCACCTGGTTAGACCTCTTATGCATACACCATGAGTCAGAGGTTTGATGGCTGCATGTAGTAATTCAACAGAGCACTGTCCCAAGAAGTGATAATTTTGGGTTCAATACCTTCCTTGGTTTAACAATGTTCAAATCCACATGTCCAACCTCCCATGAGAGTGTCATCACCAGAGCAGCATTTAGGCTTGAATATGGGCACTCTCTACTGTTTTGTTGAAATTCTGCTACACCACAAAAAGAAAGGCAAGATTCATAGGGCCAAAGAGAGAGTAACTAGGAGATAGCCTAACTCTGTCATCCAATCATGAGGGTCTTACCCTGCTGTCCTAAGTTTTGACCCTGTTGCAGGGATTGTTTATATATTTTGTACTAAAGAGTCATTTGATAAAATGCATAACCAACGTTGGGAGCAGAGACTGAAACCCATGACTTCCCTTTCCTGC